GGAAAGAAACAAAGGGTCATGAAGTAATCAGAAATGTTTCTGTGGTGTGGCTGCAAAAGGTGCAGGGGCTACTCTGCCATGATGGACAGTCACGTACTTAAAATGAAAGATGCTTTGTAAAGGTGATCCGCTACTGATGCACAGCATTGTAATCTGCAGTGGCTGTGCCGAGGTTCCGTGTGGTCTGTAAGAGCAGCATGTTAGTCTGGAAGACTTGTGTGTCTGAAAGCATGGTTGGGCTGTGTTTATTATTTGGTCTCCTGCTAGGATAAAGAGGTTACCTGTGCAATGTTCTTTATCTGGCTGTGAGAGAAGCTCAGTTTAAGATGCTCATATCCCTCCCTGGAGACAGTCCAGATGCAAGTGGCACTTGCCAGTGACCCAGAATTGCTTCAAATACCTGACTAAACTTGCCCTAAACTGGCTCTGATATCCCACCAGGATGAGCTCTTCCCAGGACTACAATGTGACCTCCAAGACAGCTCTCTCAGGCTGACAAATTCCTATGGCAAAAAATATCATGGATTTGCCTTTGACAGGGAGTTTCCAATGAATCTTGCCCATCTGGTTTGACACTGCCACTCCTAGCTGTCTGCCCTGCCCTGTGCTTAAGGTCACTGTCTCTGTAGGCGAGTTGACGAAACAGTGTTTGCCTGCACCTCAGCCACCCCTGGTCAGAGCACGGCAAATGAATTCAGCTCCTGCCAAAGCTGAGTTTGTGCTAACGTGCCAGACTGGATCAGGCCTTTCACAGAAACCTGTATCAGACAATGTAGAGTAGCGACACTGCAGGTTAACACACTAAAAATTGCAAGTGTATCTGGCAGTGCTATCAAACCCCTTTGTTAGGAAGCAGTGGCAAAAGGTGACTCTTGTGGAAGAGCTGCTTTCTCCCAGCAGTCCTTGCTTCACCAGTGCCTGTCTCTCTGGGACAGGTAGATAGGAAAATTACTTGAGTTGTTCTGATGTGGGAGCTCAAAATGAGCCCTGTGTTACATGAAGTTTAAGTAAAGAGTTACTTCCCTGAGGAGCTGGCAGTCTTAAAAATTAAAACAAAATGCTGTTCTGGCTTTGTGTTATTGTAGAAATGACACTTTTTCATTGCTATTTGACCTGGATAATTAGTCATTAGCAAGACAGCCCAATTTTGTCTTAGGTTAAATCCTTTGCCTTTTGCACGTACAGGAGAAGATGCAAATACTTGTTCTTATATCTCTCTTCTAAGACTGATCCAGTCCTTTGGGTTTCAGCCTATGTCCTTCCCAAGCAGTTAGTAGACATTTTAATTCTTACTTTACAGCTGGGTTGTTTTTGTTTCTTTTTTTAAATATCTATCTTAGTATGAGCTGGTGTGTTACTTGCAACATTTTGAACGCTTCATCAGCCACAACCAAACTTTGAGCTCCTTGTGCAGTTAGGTAGCCTGTGTCTCGTAAGCCCTGCCTTGTTCACATCAGTAGGAAAGGAGCAGGTTACAGCCAGAAGCAGTTTATTTAGTTTCCCGGATTGGTTTCTGTGGGGTCATCCCAAGGCATCCAGAAATGCACCCAACCCAACACCTGAAATAGACCTTAGTCATACATGGAAGAGTCTCTTCAGTCATATGCGCACATGCTGATGCTTTCCCTGCACCACTAATGGACATTTTTGTGGCTGCTGAGCTTTCTGCATGTAATTGGCCGTTTTAGTGGCAGCCCAATCACCTTTCCCTGAAAAGCCATTCCCACTGTAGCTGTTGGCTCAGTGATTTCCGTGTAAGAGGGGTAGAAGCAGTATCTAGATCAGCTGTCTGCAGGAAGCAAACCTAGCTGAATCTGTCATTGTGAAAGAGGAATGCTGCATGACTTTTAAGTGGGTAGTGCCCTTTTAGCTGTGTTGCTTACTCCCTGTCCTTGCCTTTGAAAAGGTGCTGGTAAACCAGTAAAGATATTGGTAAACAATGAATTCCTGACAGGCCAGATCAACTTCAGTCATAGCCATTCAAGGACTGAAGAATGCTTGGTATCTTCAAGAAAGAGAGTCAGCTTCTTTGCTTCTGTCTTTGTAGCATGCCATGAGGGTGCAAGAAAATTTGCTTTCCCTCTCAAAATGTTTTGTATGTGAACTATCAAACGTAGGCTCCCCGCAAAAAGAATTCAAAATAATGATAACACAGCTTACAAAGGCAGGTCTTGGCTTAGTTAAACTGCATTAACTTGCATTTGCTATGGTTCATGAGCATGTACATTGTCTCAAGTGCTATACATGGTCATGTGTCTAAATGTAGCAGTCAGAATATTTTTAAAGCCAATGTCAGTGTTGATCATAACTAAGGGGAAATTGCATAAAAGGTTATTTTATGCAGCTTCATAAACCTTCAGTTGGAAAAGCACATGAACTTTCATACCTTCTGAGTTATCTTGGTATAATCAAGAGGACAAAGGTCCTTTAAAGAAACATTCTTACACAGTATCTGCATACCAAACATGACAGCCTTATGCTAGTGATGGTCCTGAGAAACAGCAAAGTTAACTGGAAGCTGTTTGTAAAAAAAAATTAAAAAAAAAAATTAGTCTATCCTTATGGTCTGGGCTGAGAACAGCCAAAAAGTAAATAAAAAGCAAGTATGATTTATTACTTTTAAGAACTAAACAAAAAGAAGTTGCTCTGCCTTATTTTGCTTTTTCTTTTGCACCAGTGAGCTGAGAAATCATCTAGCACTGGCCACATCTTGCTTTCTTCCCCATGATCACACTGTGCTCATTTGAAGCACTCCCATGTGGTAGTAATGACCTTGTTATGTATCAGAACCAACTGCACGTCATAGGGGCTGCAGCTTACTCTTTATCTGCTACTTGCAGAATAAGCACAAATTCTGACAAGCAGAGTTTCAAGAACCTACTTTTTCCTGGGTTCTGACAATGTCTGCTTTAAAGCATAGACAAATTTCTCTTTTCATCACTCCATATTGAGGGAATACAGAACAATACGCAGGGTGGAGAAAATCTATCTTTTGGGCCAGAGGAGAGGCACCCCAGGTCTCTGCGCTGTCACAGCTCAGCGAAATAAAGCAAAGACTCTTGGTCGGGTACATAATTAATCTGGACTCCTACGCACTACTGTGCTGCAGCTAATTACAACTCTAGTTTAGGACACTCAGCTTATGGCCTGTCCACCTAGATCTTCCACCTGAACTTCTGTTTGAACCTAATGTGTGTTTTTAACAGTGTTCAGAGCTCTTTGTCAGTGTTCCGCTCTCCTTTCTCAAGGGGTGTGATACATGGATCTTCTTAGCAGGTGTCAATCCATGAGCAATGCCAGATCTACAACCAGTGCAGCTCTGGATTTAATTCTGTTCTTGTTGGTTTACTTACAAAGTTGAGGTTTCAGAAGGGCAGGCATGTCCTATTAGCCCTTTAATAAGCCAAAAATGGCATGTTCCTAGGGCTACCACAGATATATATGGACTGATAAAGAAAGACCATTTCTGCAACCTAGCGGGTGAAGCTTAGAGCCTCTTTGAGCAGCCTTAGGACAAGGTATGAGCTGCATGGCTCGCTAACTTCCAGGAGGCTGTCAGATACAAGAACAGCATGTGAAGGGAAGGAAGCCCTTACATCACAGTTGTTATGGCAGCTTGGATTTTGTCCTGAGAGATGACACTTCTGCTGGAAAATAGGAGAGAAGCAAAAGGTAATAGTCATTGCCCTGTTACTGTTAAAGATGAAAAGACTAATGGATTTAAGATATTACTGGTCCAGCCCAAGAGTTCTTGTTTGTCTATGTTAGCTAACCTGCATGTCCCTTTTGTTCCAGAGTTGGCCCCTTCTGTCCCTGTCTGACAAAACATGTACTGAAAAGCTGGCCTTGAACATAGTGGTACATAGGAGCCCCTCTGGATGCGACTCAGCAACTCATCTCTCATTTTTGAGTGGCAGGCATGAGAGCGTAGGGGCAGGACATAATGTGAGAGTCTGCTCTGCTTAAGCACTCAGCCTCTGTTTGCTGTCTTATTTCCTAGCCACACGTGTCAAGTTACTGACTTGCTGGAAGGCTGGATGTAGTTTCCTCTGTATTTTTCCAGGCACACATTAGTTGTAGCCAAAAGAGTTTGTGCAGGAAGACAGTGTGTCCTAGTTCACTTCTTATTTGTGAGACCAACCTGTCTGCAAAAGACTTGCTCTGATATGCTCCCTACAGGGAAATTAGGAGCGGGTATTCTTTCGCTTCAGTTTTTCTTGAATGTCTGAAAAGCAAACAGTGCACGGCTGGTTTTCTCTGTTTTAATATACAAAATAAGCATTTTCCCAACATCCTTTTAAATTATGAGAAAAATCGTTCCCAGACCGTAGTCCTTTAGAAGATGCTAAATTCCACAAAAAGGAAAATCAATCTCTCTTCCATTAGCCTTAGCAGCTGTTTCACTAACTTCCCCTTAAGTAGACCAGGTGCACCTAAACATTTTCCTTCCATCCTACTGTGTATTTTCTGTCCAACTTTCATGAATAACAGAGGCTTAATAACTTACAAAGTATGTGCAATGCTGTAGAGTCAGGTACAGCAGTAACAGGCAGGAGATCACACCTGGGGCCCAGCCAGACTGAAACAGGGTGCACCTTAACAGTAACTGATTTTCCATGGTGATGATGAGTGATAACCAATGCCTTGTTTTCCTTGCAGTGGACGGAAAGAAGTCTTCATGAGCTCCTGAGAACTGTATTCAGTGCTCCTCAGCCAGTATGGAAGTTCCTAGAAGAAACTAAAGGAGGGACATCTTGTCCTGTTCCCCAGGTTAAGATGCCCTTTAAGAATCAGGAAAATGTACAGTTTAGCTCCCTGCTGTGTGCATAGATCTGGAAGAAGTGGAGACTTCAAACCACTGGTACAAAGTTCACAAACTTGGTGATGTTTCTCAACAGTAAGTTCTAAACATATTCTGACGTGATGTTGCTGATCCTGGTTTTTGTGGGCAAAACAGACGTTTCCTTGTAACCAAAGCTGGGTGTTCCATGCGGGCAAGGTCATTTCTTCTGAAGATTGGTGACTCTCCGGAGACCTTTCAATCGACTAAGCAATTCTGTAATGAAGTCCTACAATGAGAATTGGTTGAAGAGGGATGCCATGTTAATTCCAGTTTTCACCAGCCCAGAGTACTATGACACATGCATTATTCCCACATTCGCCTTCACGTTGAGCAGAAACCAGAATTTTGACATCTATTGAGCAAACCTATCTTTTAGCTTAGGAAAGGAGACCTTTTAATGGATGAGACAGGTCTAAAAGCCCCTCCACTTCCCCTGGCTCGCTCTGGAGAAGCCATGTTTACTTTCTCCCCTGGAGCCAGCCTGCCCCTCTTCATCCCAGATGCCTGCTTTTTCCGCCTTGAGATGACCTCAGGATGCTGTTGTCCTCTGTTAGGTTCCACTGCTTCCTGTTGCCACCATAACCTCCTGCCCACTTCTGCTGCCCTCCCAATCTAGGACAAAGCAGGCTGTCCCTCTTGTTGAACCTGTAAAGCTCCATGTTGTGGATTGCAAACCATCCTGGAGCTGTGCCAGCGCTACAAGGAAGTGGCTGGCAGAGAAGAGCTGGAGCAAAACACACATAGGACTAATGATAACCTGAAGCAGGGGTTGAGAACAGGCAGAGCAGATAGATGAGAAGTTAATGGAGATAAACTCTGACTACTTTGCTGACACAGCCAAGGACTATGAACTAAACTGGACCATCTGGTTATTCCAAGCAGAAGTCAATGTGACTAGTGCAAACTTTACCCTCTGCTTGACAAGTAATATCACCATAAAGGAGTGTGCAGCCTTTCTTCACGCAAAGAGATAGCTACATATCCATGTAATTAGGCAAGATCACTGAAAGCATTGCACCTTGTTACCCTTGGTGCTGCGTGGAAGCCCACCTTCCTCACTTGGGTGATCAGAGGTTACCTGCCACAGCATGCTCTGGTAGTAAATGCTGAGGATCATACATACCTTTTCAGTCAGTCCCTTCAGAGGAAACCAGTTTGTTTCCTGTGTTTGCTTTCTGCTAGTAGGCTGTGTGGTCTTTCAAGGGGACTGGATTCAAGATCACCAAGGTGAAAGTACGTATTTTTGCCGATGGGGCAGCAGCAACTGTTTGTAGTTAGCAAGTACTATGTTGTCTGTGAGACATTTTCATGGCTCATGAATCAGTAGAGCAAACTCTGTTCAGTTATCTCTCTGGGAATGTGCGCTTCTTGCCCAGATCTGAAATTCTGACACCCTGAAAACTATTTCTCTATTGCCAGCCTTCTCTGCTGAACCCCTGCTAGGAGACTGACTGTAATGACTGCTACAGCTGAGTTTAATTTCAATGGTAGTTGTGCATCCACCTCCTTTCCTGTATGTTCATTACTGTACAGCTATATAGGCTCAACGAGATGTGGAGACTGATAAATGACGTCCAAGTCACATGCCGTGCACGTGACTGAAGCAGTGGTGGTGGACCCCATTTTGCACAATGCAGTGCAGGCAATTGCTGTGTGATGCGTGCACTACACTGCAAAGGATTTGGCTCCACTCCTTTGGGCATTGTGACAGCTTGTGGGATTTTTTTAACTCTCTAACTCAAAACCCATGCTTGTAAAGTTCACATGGGAAAAAACCCACATGTAAAACTAACTGCTCAGCAATTACCTGCCCAGTCCAATCTCAGGGCCATCCTACGTTCTTGTCACTTGTAACACTAGCGTGGTTTAAGCTAAGAATGCATTCAGTTAAGAGTATGCAAGATGGTTATGTGAGCTGTATCACTGTCTATGGCTTTTCTACACTGAGACCATGTAGCAACTCAGCCTGGTCAGCTCAGGATGTCCAAAACATGGAATGAACTTTGGCTGTAAAGCATAATCCCTTATTTGCTCCACTGCTCTGCCTGCAGCTCGCCCATGTAAATTTACATGTATTTTTCTAACACAGCCGAATAAAGTGGCAAACACCTCTCATTAGGAATTAAACAAATATGCAGCATCATGTTGGGCACAGTAATATCTTGGCTATTCAGCTAAGCAGCAACAGACTCTTGCAGCACAGTATAACATACATACATATATATATATATAGATGGTGCTTCACTCACCTCTGTCGGGCTGGAGCACTCATGGAGGATTTCCTAAAAGCCAAGGAGGAGTCATTTTAGTATTTTATAAGTTGACCTATTCTCCCCTCCCTACAAAAAGGGTATATAATCTTACTACATTTGGCAGGCTAAGACAGAGGGAATCAGCATGCAATGTTGTATACACATATTCTGTAACCCACACACCACTGCTTCTCTTTATGAAAGAGGTCCCTAACTTAAAGTCACCAAGTCCCTCTATCTGACCTGTAGTTTTAATTTTTGTTCTTCATTAGGGACCTCCAGGAGATCTTCAAGATCAATTTGTGGTTCAGGAGCTGCTGCCTCTGTTTCCTCTCTTAGCTAAAAAGAAAAAAAAAATACACAGTTAATAAACCTTCGAACTTCTAAGAACTCTAGAGGCCATCTTTGAAGAACTGAGCAGCTGAGAAGGAGCTAGTTACAATAAAATAATGCTGCAAAGTTGAGGTTAAGATATAAATCATCTCAAAATAAAGAGGTTCTTACAAAGAGGGCATGGATTCCATCCCCTCTGTGGTATCTGCAACAGCCACACATCATGATGTTCACATTCTTCATCTTTTCCCACCTCAACACTTGATACTGCTGCTCAGGGATCACGGTCCATCATGAGAAGACTCTTTCAAGAATATCCAGCTGCAATTGCCAACTGCAATGCAGTGTAAGCCAGCCTGGGAGAACCCACATCTATGAAGAGCACGCACAAGGGTTCACCAAATAGAAATCCAGCGGGCTTAATCCTAGAGATGCACAACTAATACAAAGAGATTTTAGGTTTTTAGGCTATATACATTCATATAGTTGATATTTGTACTAAGGCTTTTTGCAGTAACAGAGAGAAAAACAATTACGCTTTTGAAAGGCCTAACGCTATTTTGTCAACTTTCTCTAACAGACATGTCAGGCATATAATATTCTCTAATGTAAGTGAGACCCCAAGCTTTGGCGATTGGAGTAATAATCTTGTCATGCATGTGGGTGTTACTTGGAAACTTTTGTAAATGTGGTCACAGACACATTTTAGCTCCACACATCTCTACAAGATTGTAAGGAAAGCAGGCTGTGGCTTCCAGTGTATTTGCAAAAAGAATCTTTGACAACATGACACTAGTGATATTTTAACATAATAATCAGCAGAATAAGGATACTGAGTAAAAAGTGCGGTGCCTAATTGCTGGACAGCATTTATGGATGGGTATGTAAAACATTAAATAATAAAGGCAATACTTACAGGAAAAAAAGAAACTTTTTCTGAGCAGTCTCTGATACCAAGCCAAACAGGAAGTAGAAAACCTTTGTTCAGCTTTGCTATGCAGCTGATTTGACAGTACGTAATAAAGCAGAGTTAAATATATTGTACTGTGACCCATACAGTATTTCTTCTTAAAAGTAATAGTTTTCATGTGACTTTATACAACAGGTGTTGATTCAGCCTGACTTTATCTCTGGCTGTTGTGGCAGCTGTTCCCTCTCCCCCACCCCACCCTCTGCAGTGGGGTGAGGGAGAGAATTGAAAAGGAAAAAAAAGTAAAACTCATGGGTTGAGATAAAGACAGTTTAATGGGACAGAAAAGGAGGATAATAATAATAATAATAATAATAACAATAAAGAAAATACAGGACAAGTGATGCACAGCACAATTGCTCACCACCCAAAGCCTATGCTCAGCTAGTTCTTGAGCTGAACTGCCTCCCAGCCCACCCCCCAGTTATATACAGAGCATGACATCATATGGTATGGAATATCCCTTGGCCAGTTTGGGTCAGCTGTCCTGGCCATGTCCCCTCGCAGCTTCTTGTGCACCCCCCACCTTCTTGTTGGCAGGCCAGTATAAGAAGCTGAAAAGTCCTTGCCTGCTTGGCAACAACTAAAACACCAGTATGTTATCAACATTATTCTCATCCTAAATACAAAACACAGCACTATACCAGCTGCTAGGATGACAATTAACTCTATTCCAGCTGAAAGCAGGACACTGGCTAAGAAGCTAAATAGGCCAGGAGAGTGAGAGAGGCCACAAACTCCCTATAGCTTTTTCATCCTAGTACAGACAGTGTTCTGGCTTCCAGGTGCAGGGAATCATCTTGAAAATCAAAATTGTCTCCTGAGTCTTAGTTTTGTTGCAAAAAGGCTCATGACAGTAAATAGCATTGCATTCAGATTACCTGTATCAGGAGGCGATGTTTGAACTAACTTTACTGGCATTTGAATCTGCAATGCTGTTCTGACTCTGTCACGGGGGTTTCTGGAAGACACTGAGGAACGTTGCAAGGCCAAGGGCAGGTGGAGCAAAGGAAGAAGCTGACAAAGAGACAATGTAATGGAAGTCGATGGATCCAAGGAAGCCCAGACTAGCAGGGCTAACTAAATAGTCTTGCCACAATGCAGAGAGGAGAGCAGGAGGACCAGCTGGACACCTGGGTGATTACAAGTTATTTACTGTGGCACATGTATTTATTTGAAAAGATCCTGTGTAACCCCATGTTGTACCCTGTTAACGTCTCTGACCAATGATGGCATCATGTTATGCAGTTCCTGGTAGCAAATCTCTTAGGTTGGCCCAAATACACCAGGAAGCTGGGAAACCTGTTGTGCTGGAGAGGTGCTAGCAAGGGCAATCCACTGGTAATCTGTTCCTGTAAGGGCATGGCTGGATTTCTCACGTGCGCTTGCTGGGATTTTGTAGTAGGGAAAAATCCCTACTACTACTCTGATAACAGTAAACAGCTCCTAATTCTCAGAATACCAGAAGTGATAATGTAACCTGACTTGTTTTTCTGACACCTTTACAAGTGTATATATGTAGACTTGGGCAAGTAAGCAGCACACAGGGAGCCTCATCGTGGGTCATGTTACTGGTGGTACCAAGAAGTGCTTCTTGTCTATCTCAAAACCAAACACACACCCTCCCCCCACCCACCAAAAAACTCCCACAAACAAACAAACAAAAAACCCTACCCCAAAACCCAAAGAAACAAGTTTATCTTTAAAAATGCAATAATTTCCCAAAGGGCAAAATGGCAAATCTCAACAGTCAGGGTAAAGGCTCTCTGAACTGACCTACCAGCCCCAGGGACAGTCCCTTAAAAGCCAGTGGAGGCATAGTTGGCAAGTGACACTGTCACTGCCACTGTTCTTATGAACAGCTGTCACCTACCAGGACCACCACTCTAGCACTTCGCAGAAACACTCAATTTTGCTTGTCTGACTTGGTCTAATGATACCATCTGCTCCTATGCATATAATATAATATGTACACTATAAGATACAGCTGAGAATGTATTACTATCATTTTTTAAATTAAACAACTGGAAATTCAGAATTAAGTCTTGAAACAATTATGAGCTTTTATCCTTTGTCATTTTTGCTAATCAAGCTATAAAATTGTTTCAGAAGTCTAAAAACATTAATTAACAGAGCAGAAGCAATAATATCTGCATTTTCAGAGAAGCCATGCATTTGCAACAGAAGGAAGTAATTTTTTCTCCATATTTGTTTTCTGTTGTGTGTTCTTTGCATATGGCATAAATTCAAACAGAAATTAACTATTTTACTCTCCCAACATGGCAGAAGAACCTGGTACGTTCCCAAATACCAAATAGGAAACAGTCACACAGAAAATCATGATGATGATAATAAACAACAACAGCAACAATAATAATAAAGACAGACAGCCTCAGAGACAGGTCCTGAAGTTTGGCTCTTCAGCTGTGGAGCTGATACCATTCCATGGCTCTCAGGCCCAGAAAACCAGCCTGGAGCTCTCCCAGGGCAGACAAAAGCTTCTCTGTACCATCACGGCATACAGCACAAAAATCGCCTTTCCTGGGCTGTTCTAACATGTCCACCCCCACTGACCATTGCAATCTGAAACTGCTGGTGCTCAGAGTGGAAGACTCTAAGCAATCATCAGCTCTTTTTTCCTTGTATTTCAAAAATGTGCTTAACACTGTGCTGGGGTGCAAATACAGAAAAGAGGGGAGAAAGATCTTGACCGTTTATTTAGTCTGTCCCCATCCAGGACACGTGTAAGCTGTTTTACACAATTTCTTAAACCCATCTGTGTCTTCTGTTGAAGATGTACTGAGTCATAAGTCAAGAAAGCTATGTTCTCTTGCTGCATCAGCCATTGCCCTATAGATTAAAGCAAAAACCCCAAGTCAAGCTATTTAATGGGTTTAAGACCGTGATGTGCAATGTGGGCAAAGCCTTTCACCTTTTCCTGTACCACACTCCAAAGGAATTATCTCAACCGTGGAAAAGCACTAGCCCTTCTGAAAGCTCCCAGTCTAAGTGCCGTCCATCTAAGCACAAAATATGGATAGAAGCAATACTACCAGGTTAAAATTTCAGTGTATGCAGCCAGTGCTGGAACCCGACTTACTTAAATATCACATCACCCTGAAGAAAAAATGTCACGTGCCCTGCAACAGCTCAAGTACAGACTGGTTCCACCCAGGCACCGGACCTAGGCACTCCTGGATCTCTCTTAGCAGGACAGCTCTCAGATAGGCAAGAAGCACTTAGGAGTGACTCTTCCGGGTGCAAAGGGAATCTCAGGCAAGGAAGACAGCTCGGGGGGATTTGTGAAGATAAAGGCATAAGATCTCTACACACATCATTTTTTTCTTTCTTTCCAGTAGGGTGTCCAGACTCTATAGCTACAGCCATGGCATTATCCTGAGTATCTCATTCAAAGAGCAGCTATAGCTACACTGTTGTGACCAAAAGAGAGGCAGATGCACCGAATAGCTCTGACCCAGCTAGCTCAGATACTGCTTGCAGCAAAGCCACCGACCACGTGGAGCTCAGCAACAAGAAGCAGACGGGGTTTGTACGTCTCTCCAAGTCCTGCGACTCATGCTGAGCAATAGCTGCCCCCGGCCCCCAGCAGATGCAAGACCAGGCAGTTTAAAGTTAGCTGGATTACATCAGCGCCAGCGTCTCTGACTGCGGACAGACCAGTCAGAGAGAGTGCTGTAGCAGGTGGCAATAAGATACGTAATGAAGACTGAAGATGAGAAGCTATTTCCACTAAGGCAGAGCAAGCAAAACTTCTGTCCCAGGGCCTCTAGTCCCATTCATCTGACAAGTGAGGGGCTGATTTGCCCCAGCTACTCACCCGGCATTGGTACAGCTCCTGCAGCTGGGTGTTGATCCATTCCTCCAGGTCTAGCCAGCGCTGTAGGTCTTTACGGTTGTACTTTATGGTTAATTTGCCCAGTTTTCTGTGTGAAGATTCCTCACCAGGTTTCTCTGGTGTCTGGAAAGTCACCCGGGGCAGCGCGCTGGAGCCGCTGGCCATGCTCACTGCTTCCTCCTCCTCCTCCGACAGCAGGAACTCGCCTTCCTGTGGGCTCCCTCACTCCTTTTCTCTGTCTCCTTTAACCAATGCCTCTCTGCAACTAGCGGCTCACAGCACAGGCTACTTGCAGAAGCGAAAGACGAGTAGCATTGGTGATCCCAGGCAGAGAGGTGGGGGAGACCGCACGGCCAGGGCAGCAACCAGGCTCTGCAGGCAGAGTTACAGCACCAGACTCTTGGGTTTCACCGTTGGCCGGTGCTGGGAGAGGAGTTGTTGTAATAACATCTGTTGTTAAAAGAAGCCAAGTGAACCAGGGAATTGATGAACCAAGTCTGTTAATATTTAACGCAAGTCAGCTCCAAGGGGTGGGGAAGAAGGAAGTTTTAAATGACTGTTTTTCTACAGGCATAACTTACGTGCATGTGCAATTCCAGAGGGCTGATCCATGCATAATGCATTGAATCCTGCTGTGTTCAAGCTCCACAAGCCTCTGTAAACTACTTTGCCTGCAGCTACAGGGTTTAGCTGCTGTTGAAATGGTGCTTTTGGCATTTTCCAGCTAAAGCACTGGACCCAGCACAGAAAAGAAGTGATCTGGAGTCAGGTGGCTACATCCAGTATTTTACAAGAGTGGGAATACTGGGTCAGTGACACTGCAAGCCAAACTTGGACTCAGCAGTCCCATTTTACATTGTTCTACAATCTCTAAATTTACTCCAGCTTTCTCAAAAATTTCTGTAGAAATCCCAGTGGCCTGAATTTGAGATAATTTGTGAAAAGCACTTCTGAGATAAAATAAAATATCTGTGCTCTCATTAAAAAAAAGTACAGTATTTGACATGATGACAGTGGAGGGGAAGACCTGTGGGATATAGCACTATGTCCTTCCCACATAAACAGGTAAACAGGTAAACAGGTTCACCTGTGGAAACATCATAAACTGCTATCTACTATATATTATCAGTGCTTCATTTGCAACCTGTTTCTTACCGGAAAACAGGTTAAAGGTCTGCAGCATTATTGCCCTATGCCATTTTAGAAAGATATATGTGAGCAGTGCTGATCAGAGGAACAAAAATCAGGCTGGCTGTGTTTATGGGGTGCCAGGGCACCGGGGACACCTGCGTTCCCTCCAGATGCTGTATCACACCTCTTTATTCATCTGTTCCCAGAGCCCTCCGGCAACCTGCCCAGGGGGCTGCCCTATCGAAGGGACAAACCAGCTGAGACCCTCTGTCATGAAGCAGATCCAACAACCCCAGTCTCATGATTTATGTGGAAAACGCAAGTAAGTGTCTGCTGCTCCTGGCACCCAAGGTACTTCCAGTTTGGGGACCAACAGCTAGATAAACCAAAGGAAAAGCAACCAACCCTTCTCCCACTGATAGCTTCTGCTGGGCAGCATGGGGCAGTTTCCATGGGGGCTGGTCTCCTCTGGAAGTTGTACCCAGGTCCCCCTGCCAAAGCCAGATTCCTGTGCCCAGAGGGATGGTGGTACAGCCAGCCAGCAACATCTTGTACACAGGGTGATGGAAAAACGGGCAGGGCCATTCCAGCCCTTCTTTTCATCCTGAATTTGAGCAGAATATAAAAGTCTTTTCTGATGGAAAATTCCACAAAATGCTCATCCTGAAACTTACTTCCACATCAGTGAGGGATAAAGTATTAAAGTATATCTGAAACTGATATTATCTTCTCTGCTTTTCAGACAGCCTAACATTTCTATTCAGAAGAGAGCTGTCAGCTATTTGATTCAAGCAGCTTTACCCATTTTCCCTCACTGCTTGGCTGTATCCTCCCTCTAATCTCACTCCTAAAACTCTCTTATTCAGACCAGAAAAAACCGTGTTGTGAGAAGCTCAGAGCATACTCAGTGAGTGCAGATTCTTTAGAGATTCTTAACTGTTAGTAACCTTGTGAAACCCATTGAACACCCTATAATGTGTTTATAACTATTGACTTTTCCAAGGTTAATATGCTGGCCCAACACGGATAGATTTTTCACAACGTAACTCTGGACCAAAGGACACACACTGCCAGGTGTCAAGTTCCTGTCTCCAAATATAAGTGCTCTCTATTTTGGGGTTCAAGGAATGACATTTTTTAACAGGGCAAAACAACTTATATTTTCTTTGGTCCTGAGGAACTCCAGACAGGCTGGCATTAAAACCAGAGAAAGAGGACAAGACTTACAAGAGAAGTTACCTGGCATCCCTGAGTCTGTCCAAATATTTGCAGCGGCTGAAGGGCTGGCAGGGAAGTTGCCCCCTTCCTCCATCCCCTGTGCTGACTCTGCTGCTCTTCATTGAGCAGTTCAGTTCGACTCCGCATGAAAGATGGGGTTTGCCCTGTCAATCTTTTGCCAGCATAGTTGAATGTATGAAGCACAGGATCCAGAGGTCACAGGATAGGTGTGAGAAAGAGGGAAAGGGGAATGTAACCTGCCCTATGGCTCTTCAAACAGCTTGAGCCGCTGTTGACTTGTAACCTCGCTTGAGCATGAGCAACGCACTGAGATGCCACATCTAAAACGGTCCACAGGCAGACTCACCCCACCGTCCGTACTCTATCGACAAAGTAATAAGCAGACGCTGGTGCCCTCGTGCTGCTCTATCAGTGTCACCCTATGACGTAATAAGACATTCAGATGGGCATGTCAGAGGCCCTCTCAGGAAAGCTGTAAGCCAAAATGAGCCAGATTACAGGATGTTCATCATACTGCTTTGGCTTATGTGAGCTTACTCATCAATTCTTTGTAGTGAGAAGGTGGCAATATAGAAATAAATGTTTACAGATAAAGGACGCCTCCTCCAGTAATAAACTATTTTAATCTATCATTAAAGCAAGAGGAAGAAGCAAAAAGACTGTGTGCAAGATCACTCCTTGAGGGTGTGGTAGAAGTTCCTGCAGGCACAGGACTGGGTGCTTCATACAGGGTAAGCGACATTGTCCCCTTTGAACGAGGCAGCATCTCCTATGGGTGCAGCAGCCACCTGCCAGTGCTGGTAAGTGCCAGCTGCCACCAAACAAGAAGCAGCTGCACGACTCTTTTCACAGTGCTGCACCCCATCCTGTCCTTCCTTGTGTCACAGCAGATTCAGGTGGCCAAAGGGACAGAGGACATTCACCATTTTGTTTGGACACGCACAGTGGGAGGATCTCAGAGATCTCAGGCATGGCTGGGAGATGAGATCTTATTTTCAACCTAGTTATCTCTCCTTATAGCCTCAGGCATACAACCTGGGCCAAAATTTCAGAAGTGAACACACATACTTGGGCAACTAAGTCATCTAATCAGACAACAGGTTTTTTCAGAAGAGCTGCGCACACATAAGCTCCAATGGACCTCCTGCTGCAGTTGCTGGTGACCATGTCCCCCACAAATCTGCTTATTATTTATGTAGGTTGGTAAAGAGGGTTTAAACATGGCCAACACATTTGAGTGTTAGACTGAAACACTGCGCCTCAGTTTTCATGTGTGTTACCTGGGGTTGCTGCTCCTCCAGGCCTGCCCTAAGAGTGAGGTTTTGCCTGTGAAAGGAGAGAGGGATTCAATACTGTGGAGCTGGGCTTTTGTGACTGTCTATGGCCCCAGAGAGGGCCTCCAAACCAAGCTGAGCATCTGCATCGTGGTGCCAAGCAGCTGTGACACTGCTCCAGGCGGCAGAGCAACTAAGTGCACGAGGCAGATCTGGTTACGTTCCTCTGTTCTTGAAGCTAATAATCTCCATCCCACACCTGTGACCTAAGCTGGTGCTTCTCTTTCTCTCTGAGCTGACGACTGTGGTGTGTGCTCAATAATTCAGCAGGGTCCCGGCTCATCTTTCCAGAGAACCAGGTTGGCCCCTTTCTCTTGAGTCCCAGCCTAGAGAGGAATGTTTCCCTTTGAGACAGCCAGAAGCCACTCTCCACCTGTTTTAGAAAATAATCACTTTCCCTGTGGTTGCAAACATGATAGTTAACACAAATTAAACCAGGGAAGACAGCAGAGGTGACTGTATCCATACTATGTTGACTCCCCAAGGTAAAGAGGTTCTGCATTCTCCTATGAGCAGGAAAAGGCACAGAAATAATTTGTGCAGATCAGAAAATGTAGTCAGGGCTTGAGACTTAAAAAATCCAGAGCCCTGAGTGAGCAACCTCCGTACACCCAGCATCTTGATGTCTGTCATCCACTTCTCTCATCCTCCAGTGTCTCCACAGGAGCATGGAAACCAAAAAGGCTGCACCATTGACCCAGAGCTCTAGCAAGAAGAAGAAGAGTGCATCATTTCTCGCCTTCAACTCCTGGATACTTAAGGAAGCAGCCAGGGGTTTCCAGCTCACATAGTCCTCACCTCTCACCTGAGCAGTACTGCTACCTCCCACCAGCACGTGGAGAGGAGCCTATATATTCTTCAGTCAGGCGACTGGTAATCTGTCTTACTCCTCTCCCAAGATAGTCTCACCTTTCATAAGGCAATGAAAGGGCAGTGAGATGGAAGAATGCCAAGAGACAGAAGAAAATATTTCCCAACTTCATATTTGACTGATCAACCCAAAATTGCACTATTTTGCACTGCCTCAGAAAATAGACGGGTCTCAGCACTGAAGAGGTCAGGTGAGCTAGCCTGCCTGCCTGCCCTCCCTCCTGCCTGGTACTGGCAGTCAAGTGAAGCGTAAAGGCTAATGGCTCATCAGAAGCTGAGAAGGATAAATGAGAAATAGTTTTACTTACTGCTTCGGCACACCAGAGGAGTACCAAACCCTGGACTCTCTCCTCATTTAGGCAATTAATTCTGCTTATCTGTGTTCATCCTCAGTGGGATGGGTAAGTATCTCCACTGAGGAGGAACACCCCCCCTCCCCTTGAATACTTAGGTGAAGCTGACAACATGAATTAGATGCCAAAAAGATTATTTGGGGATCTTTGAAAACCTATCCATGTTGTTTTGTTGCCCTCTCTCTTGTATTGCTTTCCTGTTTTCTTACAGAAAGAAGCCTGCAGCACTGAAAGCATTATCAGTGTTTTCATGTGGCACAGAGGTTTCAGCAAGCCCGTGAATGGTAGAGTTGGAGACGACAGAAGCACTGGCTGTATAGATGAAGGGGATCTGCCTTGTTTTCCAGCCTTCTTTCGACATTTCAGACTTGCAGAGGTCGTCTGTATAGTTCTTGCACCAAGAAGCTTATTGTGACCTGATCCCCTTGAGAGGGTGCAATTACACTTGCAGGGACCGTACTGCTCACGCCTGCAGGGAAATCGCCGTCTACAGACACAGGGGAGAGCAGCGTTTCACAGGACACACTGGCAGCTGGCCTCAAGGTGTGGAAAGGCAGAAGGTTCCCGGGGATGCAGTCACTGTAGGAAGTGATGGAGGAGAGACTCTGAGGAACCCCACGGCAGATCCTGTTCCACTCACAGGTGCTGTAAAGAAGAGCTCAGGTTGCCTACAGGGAATTCAAGCCAAAATGTTCAACTTATTCTAGTTACTGCAAACTGAAGTTTTGTTGCTTCACAAGAGGAGCCATTTCCATACCTATCTATCTCCCTGTAAAAGCCTAGTGTAGACAAGACAAAAATGCAGATACTTGCTCAGTGTAACTAATCTCAACACTATTTTTCCTTCTTCCTTTCCCACTGCTCCTACCCTTATGGGTTTACCTGGACAAGCAACATTAAAATAAAAGGCAGTGCCATGCAGGGCTATAGACAAGAACTTCCCCAAAGAAACAATACACCCTCATTGTAACTCCCTTCCCCAAAGCTGCCCCCGATGCAATGGGAACAGGTCTCTGAAGGACTCAGCAGCCTGTCATCCTTTCCCTTGCTTTGTTCCACAGGACCGGTGGTTAGTCACGGCCCGATGAGGTCCCTCCCCGTCTCCTTCCTTTGCCACATCTTTGTGCCATCACTTGCATCCGGGTCTCGCCCCTAAACCACACCAGGAGCTTTAACCTGAGGCAAATACAACAAAACAAGCAAGAAAGCAAACCTGTCTCCCAAGCGTTAATTACACACAGAGCAGTTCCCAGGTAAAGCACAGCAGAATGGATTCATCTGCAGCAGCCGGTGGGACAAGCTGCTGTCAGGAAGTCATTGCAGGCGGTGATGCCATGGAGCTGGCCTGCACAACGGGGAAAAGGGGACCTGGACCAAGTCTTCCTTATTTTTCTGCCTGTTGGGGTCACTTCCTTCTGGAAGGTGGGCATCCACCTGCTGATGGGTGCTGGGGTCTCCATAGCAATCACAAGAAGGCAGGTGATGCAGGATCCTGCACCGAGTTTGTTACAAGCCATGCATGTCTAAGAGCTCCTGTAATCTTAGTCAAATATTAAACTACGGTGCAATTTAACCCTCCTGAGTCATCTCCTGAATAGTTATTGCAGGACTGAGAACAGCCACTTCTCAAAGACAGACAAACATTAACCATGACTCACTGTTTCAGGACCCCTTAAAAAACACTCCCAAGTCATAAAAATCACACACCCTACTTTCTCTTTACACTAATATGAATAACACACGGCTCAGCTGAAGTCGTGGGAAATTACGCATTTGGCAGAAGATGAGGGCTGCGATAGGATTTCTACGTTAGGAGGGCAAGGAATAGGTTACTGAGTTGGAAGGAAAGCTGCTGCAACAGAGAGAGGTTCCTAGTAGAAGTCCCTGATATTGGGACAAATCTCAATTAAAATTTTAATTACTGAACCTCTCCAGAAGAAACCGGGCATATTTAGAAACTGTGCTACCAGCACAGAGGTGGGATTCCTTACTCCTACAGTGAAGGACCAAAAATGTGATCTTTAAAGGCTGAATGAACAAGCTAGACCCATATGCCAAGCAGAAATAAATGGGTCAAATTTAAGAATACAGAGAATACAAAAAGTAAGATTACATACTTAGGAAATTATCATAAAAATTTTAGCTGGGGGCTGATCAGCTGAAAATGGTGGAGAGAACAAGACCAAGATCCATCAAACACGTACTGTTCATAAGATGGCTCTGCAGTAAGCCTATGAACGATACCAACATGATGTATTCAGCAACATATTTCCAGCAGAGAGAATATTAAATACTTGGTAATGGTGATCCATTCTTTAGACTGTGGCATCGAATTCTGTAACACACTTAGTAAAACCCCTGAAACTGGAAAATGTGCTGAAAAAAGGACATTAGGATAACAGAGGGGAAATGGAGACTCTACCATAAAAGAAAGATTGAAAGATCATGGCTTGCTTGCACTACCAAACCAAAGACTGAGTTAGGATATGATTTCACTAAAATAAATACAGCTGAAGACGACAAAAGGAGAGAAGCTTTTGAAATTAAAGGACAATATTGCACAAGAAAACTGAGTATAAAGTAACTGTAAATACACTCGGGGTGAGCAGCAGCAAACCTTGCAGCAGGATGCTAGCACAGCCTTCTGCTGGGAGAAAAAGTGATTGAAACCTCCTATTCTTAAGGCTAGGACTGATCAGCTTATGAAGGGGCTTCATAACATTAAAAAAAAAAAAAAAAAAGCTAGAGATGCCAATCCAGGAGTCCGTCCAGCTCTACGTTTGCAGGAGTTACGTTACTTGGCACAGGCAGAAGCGACGTCATGTCCTTCAGGTTTGCAGGAAACCTTTGACAGAGATTTTTGTAACACAACACGACTGCTGAGGTAGGTTGGATTATTGCCAGTTAGACAAAAATACCAAACCAGACTGTTTAGGAGCAGTTCTGCCAGTGCAGAGAGCCAAGCACGGTTGCTGGTTTGCAAAGGGGACACAGCAGCACGCTCCTGTGTCGGGGAACTGCACTGAGTCTCACCTGACTCCAGATTGAAAGCTTCAAATATTTATCCAGGAAAAAAATATATATCTTCTCCATGTTAAATACAAGAGAGAGCCCCCAGCAGAATGCCTCAGGAAATGCAGAATAAAAAGAGGAGACAACTTGTCATTTTTATTTATCTTTCCTGTATTTCGAAGATGTGCAGGACAGCAAGGTCAGCTCTCCCTTTGCTGCTGGCACGGTCTGCAGGCAGGTCCTAAAGACCAAGTATGGAGATGGGGGCTGAGTGTGGGGTGGGAGACTCCCACCTGCTTCGGACAAAGATTCATATAGCCCATAAGGAAAACAAACATCTCTCTGCTCTGCAGACGCGCATGTTTCCTACTGCCATACCATCTATTTTCATGGTTTAGGCTTTGCCTATATTTTTTTTTTATACCCTACCATAGCCAGCTCAAAGCAATTCCCTTTTCCAAACAGAAGTCAATACTATATGCATATGTCAGCATCAGGCCATAGAAAATCATAAGAGGTATTGAAAAAGAATATTCCCACAACATTACATTCCCATAGTGTTTGCCTGTGAGAGCCAGGAGGGGGAAAAATGTGTTTCTCTTAACAAATCCCATGAACAAACATGAAGCTGGATCAGAGGTACAGAAAGAAGCAGCAAGAATTGAAACACTGGACACCAGAACACTCCCCAAAACCGCAAAACCAGCTGATCTTCGAGGCACAGCTGCTGCTCACCATCTCTTTTTGAAGATATGCCTCTCGATACCATCTCACATTTGCTGCTGTTGTTTTAAGTGATGCAGTATTTCATTACAAACAATGTCCAAGCAAATGACAAGCACTCCCTGCTCTCCTAAGGACTGTGACAGAGGGATAAGAAACAGTTTGCCCAGGGGCTTTACGACTGTTTACAGAGGGGGTGGATGACACCGGTGTATCTGTTGAACAGAGGAATTTGATCATGGATCTGCAAGTAGAAGCAGGAAGGGAGAAAACACATCCAAGTTACAGCCAGCAGCCTTTGTGTTCCCGTGGCCCCAAACAGCACCGTCCTGCGAGGCAAGGGCACTATAAACAGACCGTGACTGATCTATAGGAGATGGAGCAGAGCGGTGAAATGTTGCTCATCAGTAGGGATTGATTACTAAAAGTTTTCACTGCTGCTGTGCCAGGGGTCCCACCACGCAGGCAGCCTCTGGGCATGCTACCGAGAGCTTTCAAACAAGAGGAATATTGTGTCCTAAGAGCAGGGAATTCATGGTTATGAGATGCCCACACAGAGCACAAAACCTCTCGCAGCAGTGATGGCAGCGGGTGCTGCAGATGCAGCAGTGAGGTTGACTCATTTGGGTTAGCAAAACCTGGGCTAATGGTGCTCTGAGCCACAAAGCGTGCTGCACCAGAGCGCGAGGGCTACCAACCGGAGGACACAGACTGCATGCTCCCCGGCTTTCAGATCCTTCGAAGCATCCTAAGCACGGGGATGCAGCAAGCACCCGGCTGGTGGGATGCTCATACGGAGTGGGTGCCCTTGCACCTGCGTGAGCGAGAGCACGGCTCTGGGCTCCCACGGGGAGGGAGCCTTCCCTCTCTTCCCCAGAGGAGTGGAAGATGGTATCAGCCCAGCTCTCCTCCCCTTCCTCTTACGCAATTCAGCATGTAGGGAGTGACGATTTTTTTTTTTTTTTTGTTCCCTTCTCTCAGGGAGTTGGTTTTCACTTCCTGCACTCTGTGTGCCTTTGTCTCCGCTGGACGCAGCTGAAGGCACACCTGAGGGCTGAAGGCACGGGGCGGGAGGACGAGGGGGACACCCCGCTCCCAGCATCGGTTTCACCTGAGACCGCCCAGGTGGGGAGCTGAGAGTGCATGCCTGGGGATGAGTTGCAGGGTGGGGGGACATGTTGGCCACCCCGGGGCGAGCAGGGACCCAGAGCGTGGCCTCAGCCACATGCTCTGGGTCCCCGCTCGCCTCAGGGTGGCATGCACCTGGACACCGTCCCTCCTAGCTTCATCTATCTTCTTTCTTCCTTTAGGAAAGGATAAAGGTCTTGAGGAGGTGAGGATCAGGGCACCAAGATGGCCAGGAGTCCAGGTCCGTGGCTTGTGCTCTGGGTCTGCTTGGTGCTGGCGGTGAACTTGGGCAAAGGGCAGGAGGGAAAACCCTTTGGTGAAATGTGCCTGGAGGACTTTACGGCAGGGATGCCGGATTTTGTGCTGGATACAGATGCCTCCGTCCAGAATGGAGCCACCTTCTTGTCATCCCCCATGGTCCATCGGAGCAGGGACTGCATGAGAGCCTGCTGTAAGGACCCCACTTGTAACCTGGCTCTTGTGGAGCAGGTCCCGGGCACGGAAGACGACCGGATCCAGGGCTGCTTTCTCCTCAACTGCCTCTACGAGCAGGCTTTTGTCTGCAGGTTTGCCAGGAAGATTGGCTTTCTCAACTTCTTGAGGAAAGAAGTGTACGATTCCTACCAGGCAATGCAGGATCATGGATCTAGTGGTAAGGTGCCCATAATGGATCTGTGCAAACCGGGGCTGGAAGAGCACTAATGGCCATTGGTGCCAGCTCCTCCAGCCATCATTTGTGCAGCTGTGCTGCCAAATGGTCGGGATAAAGCAGTGTTAAAGATGGGGTTTCTGTATGTCCCTCTGCTGCAAAGGTTTTCCCTAACTTTGATGAATTCACTTAATATCTGTGCCTCTATTAGTAAATAGAGATGTAATCATTCTTTAACCTATTTGAAGTGGGGGGAGCAAGTGTTTACCAAATGCAGGCTGAGTTTTGGATACTTGACAAAGTAGAGAAAAAGGTATTGTTTTTCTTCTCCCTCCTCCCAGGCCTTTGAGGTTGGAAAGCGAAATCCTCTAAAAATCTACACATCACCCCGTTTTAAAGGGCTGCATTAATCTCTTAATTGCTCAGGGGCTGGAGGCAGGACGCAATCCACTTACCTTTCATTTTGGCACAGCCTGAATCTTGTGAGCACCAGCCCGGATGGTGAGGTGTTTCGGTATCACCCTGCTTGTTGGGGCTGGTCCTTGCTGCTGGGGGAGGGAGAGGGAGCAGCTGGGGGGAGAGGCTGATTAGAAAACTCCCCCTTTGGAGCTGGGTTTCTCTTCTCCAGTCCCTGGTTCCTGCTCTGAAAGATTGCACCGAGATCCAGAAATCCAGGTAGAAAACAAACTAATCTGGAGCTGGCCACCTACCACATACTCTGCAGTCTCCAGAGAAGTGTTCAGAAAAGCTGAAAACACGGCAATTTCTCCTTCTTCCATGTTTTGTAGGAAGCCTAAAGAGGCTGGGACATCTCTAGCCTGGCTGGGTCTTAGGCAACCATAACCAGTTTCTTATATGTTGATATCTGGGCAGGGCTGTTAGGGGATATCTGTGCGGGCAGTCCTCCTCGTGCCCCCTCCCAGCCCACCCGTGATGGGGAAGAAAAGGATCTGTGAAGATGATGAGGGGAGCGTCCAGGTGGGCGCATGGGTTTGGGCTCGATCGCGTGAGCCAAATAGGTCTTTGATCTTCTACTGGGATGTGCCAGCCTGTAAGCCTTGTAGGTGCAGGAGGTGTGAAATGGCACCAAACCCCACACCGACCACTTTTGTCCATCCTAAGTAGCAGTGCAGGGGTTTGGGAGCAGGGCACAGCTCCTCTGGAGCAGCCCTTGGGTGTCCCTGGTTTGAGCCACAATGTGGCAGAAGTGCTTCTCCTGTCCTCCGTCCCTCCTAGTTGCTTCCCACCGCATTTTAGGGCCTTCTTGTAAATCTCTGTCTCACTGTTGCAGTAGTTGTCCTGTGTCTCCGTTCCAGGCTCAAAATCCTTTCCACGGGAGCTGCAGTTAGCAAGGAACTAGGCCCACATCTCCAGGACTGGAGGTGGCATGCTGGCAGCTGTCTGAACTCCTACATGCTTTGTTGTAGGAGGAAAAGGGAATGCATCATCTCCAGTACATCCTGATTTCACAAGATTAGATTAAAATACAGTGTACTGTTGAGCAATTCAGTCTCTTTACCTCCATGGACCAGCACCCCACAGGAGGAGACCACAACCCCCTCCTCCCTGTGCTGGCCACAGGGCCTGGCATCGCACGCGTGCGTGTCTCTAGAAAGTGTCCCTGTGTCACCAAGCTCCCTGTGCCACCCGCAGTGCAGTGTTTGCCACACCACGGCACCTAGCTAGAGCACCCCAGCCACCCATACGCAGGTGCTGCCTTGCAAACCATCCGTAATGCTACTTTCACAGATGCTGAGATGGCTGCGGTGGAGCCAGAAAAGCCAGGAGGGTTTATCAGGGAGAAGTGAAAAACATGCCAGAAATGCTGCTAGGGAAACTCTGCCTGCTGAGGCGGGCATGCCTCTCCTCATTCACGTGGGGCTTGTGCCATGATACCGCTGCGGGTGTAGGAAGGGCTCACTCCCTTTTACACCCCGTGTTTGCACGCTCGGAGGGTGCGGGGTGGCGGGCAGGTCTCCAGCCGTAGCGACAGGCACTGGGAAGCTCGTTACTTCATGTTTGGGTCAGGCTGCAACGTTCATGCTGTGCTTTCACGGGAAATGCGTTTCCCTCCTCTTCTGAAATCTTTAGGCATTGGCTTTTGACTGATACCAACAGCTTTCCAAATCACCTTGAATGACATCAGAGGACTGGCAGGGGAAGAGACGAAGTATTATTACTATTTATTAATCCAGAGCTGAAAAGAAGTTATTTTACTGGAGAAATACCAGATAATAACAAGGGCTAAATCAGACCATAGGAGCTGGGCCCTCCTCTCATCACAGAAGTTGATGAGACACTTAAGAATTCAGAACTCCATTTTGGGTTCAGATCCAAACCAAAAAAAAAAAAAATCCAAACCAAACCCCCAAGCCCCTCCAGTCGCGATGCTGGGTCCATGCAGGAGGAACGGGCCTGTCCGGGCAGGAAGGCCGTCTCCTGGCTGCCGCTCCTGGCTGCCGCCAAGGGGGAGAAGGGAAGGGTGCGAAGGGGTGGGAGGCCAAATGAAGGAGCCCCCGGGCGCTGAGCGCGTCCACCTGGCAGCGTAAGGAAGCTCTACGGCGTTTTTCCTTCCGGACCTTTGGAGGATGCCTGAAGAGGCCAGGTGAACCAAGTGTTAAGGAAACCATTTTCGGCATGTCAGGTTTTCCTCACAAATGTTTATAGACAAAAAATCTTGGCCCAGGTTTTGCACTGGAGACAAAGCTGTCTAGTCTTCCCGCTGTTGTACTGTATCGCTGTTAAAACGTGAAGCTCTGTGGCTGCTCTGGAGCCCAGGTTATTGTCAGCCCCCTGAGACCAGGCTCCAAAGGTCTGCAGGGAGATTATATGCTGCTTTGTCATCCATCCCTTTCATTTATGTGCTGCTGTCAGGTGTCCTAGGAGCCTTTAGGGTATGCCCATGTGGCAATCTTCAGCCGTCCTCTGCAATAATGAGGATTAAAAGAATGTTTTTTCTAGTGAATAGTGAAATACATATCTAGTGATCCCAGTGGGGGACATTAAACAAAAAAGCCACACATTGCAAGACCCACAGTACTACCAGAGGGAGCAGACATGTCGAATTAAGAGGTTTATATCTGTTCAGGAGGAGACTAGATAACACTTGAAAGAGAGAGCGCAGCTGGGGGCTGCTGAATGGGCAAATTTAATCTTGAAGTGTTTCCTGAGCCTGATGGAAGTAGCTGAAAGCTGGGAGAGTGTTATGGGGGAAACACTGTGTAGGCTTACACACTCTTGCTCTTGCTCGAGCATCCACTGCGAGACTTGGACACAGGGAGAGAGGCACCCTTGCTCTTACCCACTGCAGCCACTCTCACTGTTTTATGACTTCAGAAAAACCTGTGGCTACAGGCAACAATGAACACAGCTGAAATCTAGCTTCTGCAGATCATCTGACTATATTTTCAGTATTTTGGAGAACAAGAGCTTCTGAGTCCTGTATAAGCTGGTGGCGACAGCTTGGCTCTGTCTCTTGCCTGTTCCAGCTAACATAGAGCCCAAAGTCTCTGATGTTATTGTTAAGAGGCACTATCCTCTTAAATGATTCCCCAACCTGAACTTTGGTGCGAGTTTTCTGCCTGGCTCATGCGGGAGGGGCAGGATCACCATGCACTTTATTGGTAATAATGGAGCTCAGTGTTTAAGTAACTACCCTGAGCTTACTCTGGTCTAGGCAAACCAGTTCTGGGTGTGAAACTGGAAAATAACCTCCCTGAACCTTTGTCCGTTTCTTGAACTGAACCTTTTGTGGTGGTTGTGAAATGCTCGGTGACACTCTCCTCCTGTTGAATTCAGGGCTTGTGAGTGGGAGACAGGAAGCGCTGGGGAACCCACAGAGTTCAGGATGCGTCTGCTCCTGCCTCACCATGGGGAGAGATTTGCAGGTTAAAACTTTGGTAGTGCATTCAAAAAAGGAGAGCTCCCCAAGTTTGAAGCCCTTCTGTCTTCAAACATTTGGTCCCCCACTGGTTTCCATTCTGTGGACACAGTGCAACTGAGTGGTGCTGGGATCCCGTCCGGGGCTGAGACGGATCCGGTCAGTGGTGTGCCCTTGGCTGACACTGCTCAGCTCTGAGCCAGCTGCTCATCCTCCAGCACCCAGCTCAGGCCAGGACAGGGAGAATTCCACGTTCAGTACCCGCATCACAGATTCAGAGGCTAATGT